ACTCAATTGTATTTGGAGCAGTTTAGTCGCTAATATTTTGGCAAGTTCTACTTTTTAATTAAATTAACGTTCCACAACATGAATGATTTTATGCTGTGTGAATTGGTGAACAACTATAAATGGTTATATGACCCACAAGATAAAAATTATAAAAATTTTTGAAATTCTTCCGTCTCTCTCGCAATAAGCAAATCATTTAGAGCACTCCTATAGCTTTCACAAAATAATAATAATGTAATTTCTTCCTCTTCTTCTTCTTTAATAGTATGAAGAATTATTAAAGTTTTTTCCTCCATGTTTCATAAAAGACTGCACACAGAAAAATAATCATTCTATAATGACTTTATTGTAGATTTGCAGATTAAGTATTGATAAGGTTATATCTATCCGGAAATCTACCATAAAAAGTCGTTGTAAGTATTACATTCACTCAAAACAAGATTCTGGCTTTTCAAAGACTTGTGTCAAGATATTTGAAAACTATTAATAAGAAAATATTCTTCGTTATAAGAAAACTTACTTAAAAAAAATAAAATATTCTTTTCCTTAGCTGTAGAATAATTATTTTTCTCTGTGAAATTGCGCGACTCTCATCGCGCTTTTGACAACAGTATGCGCGACTGCTGTCGCGCGATTAGTGCCGCGCGGCTGCAATCGCGCGGCTTGAGCGTCAAAAATCGCGGTATTGACACTCAACCTTTAGATTTCGAAGAATCCGATGCAACCATTAAATATATAGGTTACCGGAGATTTTGCTGCTAATTTTTTAGTTTATTTTAGTGAAAATGCGGTAATCGAGCAGACATTTTTTGGTCGAGGTGAGGTTGGGAAGACTTGGCAACGCCGCTGGCTAATCACTGTAGTTGCAGGTTATGGAACTCGTCTTTTTTAGCCGAATTGGATAGTGATTGACACCTCTGCCATGCGTTTTGAAACCCTTTCTCAGTAATTGTCAAAATTCAATCGAAAAAGAGATGTAACCTCAGTTGTAACTTTTCTCGACGACTCGCATGATCAGCTGATCAAAACGGAGTCAAATGAGAAAAATCACATAATTTGGAAAAAGTAACATACTTTGTCACGTATGAAATTTTACACCATAATTCATAAAATTATTTTTCCCTTAGCAAAAATTGCCTGAAATATATTTCTGAACGTGAAAACCTACAAACAGTCACATGACTAGCACGTAGCGAAACGCCTACCTTAAGCTAATATGGAAAAAGTTCGAAGTGCTCCTTATCCGATTTTGATGAGCTTTCAATATGTCGTTTTCTTAGATGAAAATAGGGGATACGTATTCTTTTGGTACATATCCAATCGTATGTTTAGAAGTTTAAAAAACTTGTTTTAAAAAGATCAAATTTTTTTTGGGGTAAATATCTCCAAAACTATTTAAAAGATAAAAAAAGATTTTTCAAACAAAAATTGAATAATTTTAAGCATATTTTGAAACAGTGACAAAAATTTGCTAATTAAAATATTTATTATTTTAAAAATTTTAAAGGAATAAAAGTATTAAAAACATTTTTGTCATTGTTTTTTTTTCTTTCTCTCTCTTTCTCTTCCTCTCTCTTCTTTCTCTCTCTCTCTCTCTCTCTCTCTCTCTTTCTATCTCCATCTATCTCTCTTCATTCCACTCAATTTTTGTTTAAAAAACTTTCTCTATATTTTTTATAGCTACAGAGATATTTGCCCCAAAAAAGAAAATCTGATTCTTTTGAAAGGAGTGTTTTACTAACTAAACTACGATTAGGCACGTTTAAAAAAATACGCGTCCCTTATTTTTATCCAGAAAACGACATATTAACAGTTCATCAAAATCAGATGGTGACACTTCGGATCTTTTCCTTAAATAATAAGTTCATCTAAAAAAAAAGTTGATACAAGTAAGATACAGAAAAGTGCAAGGTATAAGAAACAAAAAAATTAATTATATGTTTCAAGTTCTGTAAGGATATATCGTTTTATGTAGATATAACACGAATACATGTTGTATATTCTTTCCGACATTTTCGAAACTATTAAGACTCAGACGTATGCGGGAAAACGAGACGTACATCGGACTCGCGTGGAAAAGATTCAGTTTGTTGTTATTCCAAATGTTCTTTGCAATTATTGCAAATGCATAAATGTCCACATGGGACAAATATATGAGTAGCATCGACGCTTAAGCACGTGCAGTATGAACCACGGTTACGTTCGCCTGGCGTTACTGGATCTTTCGTAGTAGGATAGAAAGGTACATTGATTTGTTCGTCTTCTTGGCTGGTAATAAAACTGAAATCATCGTCCGGCAAGCGAAAAATATTTTCGTTATCTGTAAAGTAATAAAATAAATAAATAAATAAAATATTATTGATAAGAGAATTGATAAGCTAATTGATAAGAAAATTGATCAGAGGCTCGATTCTTGAATTCATTCGCATGAGAAATGTATGCAAAAATTCTGCTCTTATAGAAACGTTGCAAGTTGATTGGTTAAAAATTATGCGATAGTCAACCGACTTGCAACTTTCTAAGATCAACATTTGCGCATACGTCTCTTGCGAATGAATTCAAGAATCGAGCCCTTGATCAATTTTCTTATCAATTAGCTTATCAATTCTCTTATCAATAATATTTTTTTTATTTATTTATTTAATTGTTTTACAGATAACAAAGATATTTTTCGCATGTGGACATTTATGCATTTACAATAATTGCAAGAACATTCGGAAGACAGCAATTGCCCACTTTGTCGGAAAGAATATACAACATGTATTCGTGTTATATCTACATAGACCGAAAAAGCAGCGAGTCCACGATCGCTCGTCTTCTCTAACTTACTCGTCAATGCGATACACGGCGACCTGGGGATGCCGTTTCTGATGGTAGTAAAGCGGCGGCTTCTCTCGGCTGTCATTCCCGTTGCGTCGCCGATCACAACCGATCTCCCTATTGGATCAATAATAATCAGCGTCGTTCAACGCTAATAATCGCGCAAGGGCTGAAGAAAAACCGGGACGAGTTTTTTTTATCGAGTGTCTTGCCGATGTCTTGCGATTTTCTTCGCGACTTCACTTTTAACCCTCCCGCGTATGATACTTTGTAGGAGTTTTTCTACACGACACACGGATTTCTTATAGCTTGCGGATACGAGAGGCTTGGAATTTATAATTTCTCGTGCTTTTTCGAAGAGAGGAGCGATCGGCTTTCGGAAATGGTTGAACAATCGATCGACCGGCGGAGAAAAAAACGTTTTGTTTTTCATTTACTTTATTTTTCGTTTACACGCGTCTATATATTATGTGCATTGTATTTTTCTGTGTTTCTTCTCTTTGTGCGAGTATATTATTTCACCGAGTGTATTGTACAAGCGTTATTGCTCGTCAAGTGTAGGCCCATAGACCAATTTTTAATCGAATAGTATGGATTTTTTCGCCTGTAATTTACTATTATTACTGATACTATTACTATTATTACTATATATTATTAATACTACTACTTTTTTTCTACGATGACGTTGATTGGTGTACGAAAGCGAACATGTGTTTAAGAGTTTAATGCATACATATCTACGCCTACAAGAAATTAATTTTAAGTACTTTTTAAGTATATAAGTAAGTTAGCGAGCAAACAAAGTAAGATGAGACGGTAAGAAATACAGAATTTTACATTTTTAGTCAACCTTCTAGCGGTTAGGATAAATAAAGGAATTGTTAAGCAGAGTATGCAATTTGAAATACATCCAGTTAATATTGTCTATGTACGATAAATGTGAACGCTACTCCGTAACTATATTGCGTGTATATAATACCTTTTAGCGGATATCGCATAACACCGTGATCACCTATCTGACGTACCACGCTAGAATAAGATAAAACCTTGCCCTTTGTACGTTTCGTCATTTACATTTAATTCACGGTATCTTATTTCAGCGGCGCGTATTTGGATATTTTTTTATGTATAGTAGGCGTCATTAATGCCTTCCACCTGAAGCATAGTACATGTAACGTGCACTATAGAAATCCCAAGAACACAGCTAGGAAGGCATTAATGACGCCTTCTGTTATACCATTGACATTCTCACCGATTGTTTTTTTTTTCTTTAGTACGCAGAGATATAAGGGTTGTATTAATTTTTTGGGAAACTATATATAGAAGAAGGACACGTTTAGCGAGGCAATTATTTCCGAAACGTACGAGAGACGTTTTATAAGAAATACAATTCTATCTTGGGCTTTCGACATTCGCGATGAAAGTGTGATCCACGGAATTTGTCGGGTAAAAAACGTAAACAATTTCATAATTTTTAATAAATTTTGGAAATGATATTGATTGGCCACACTCTAATCTCGGGCGAAGCCGAGACGGGGCATGCTAGTTTGAAATAAATAAATTCTAAATAAATCCTAATTAAAAATAAAGATTAGGAATGGCTATGGGAGTCAGACGCGGTTGTCAGTGCGTAGAAAAAGCATTAAGTGGATTTATTCAATAAAGTATATGTTCATACGCTTCGGCTCCGGATTGAGCCATCGTCAGTGAAATATATAAAAAAATATTAATAATTACTCCCTTTCTTCTTGTTGGTTCGGTGAGTTTCAAGATTGAAAAATCCCAAAAAACAACATTGACTTTTTGGGATGTTTCAATCTTGAAACTCAAACGTCTAATCCTAATCTAATTCTAATTTTTTTTCGACTTCCATAATTTTATTTAAAAATTCAGTTTGTAATTCGGCACGCTCTCTGTGTGGAAGTCTTCGAAGGCCTTCAGCCAATCTCATAGCAAAGTGATATACTTCATCCTTTTCTGCAGGTTCGTTGACAACTGCAGTACGAACAGCCTCTTCCGAATAATTTTTGTCTTCTTTGTCTTCAATTCTTTTTCCTACAAAGATATGAAAAATACTATTATAATAAATAACTTTAAATTTGAGGATGTTGAAAAGAAGCAAAAGTTTTGATTCAAAGCAAAAAACGACTAAGTTTTTAAAAATAAGAAGTATATGATTTGCCTCTGATGATTTTGTATTCATTGTGATAAAAATTTAATATGAATTCATAATTACACATACGTTTTGAAGAATTTTCATTCGCGTTGTTGGTGACATACACTGGCTGACTACTGACTAAAACAGGCTCTATGGTGCTGGAAGATGGTTCGCTTGATGTCCTAATTAACAAAATTAATAAAATTAATAAATCAATATTGTACAATATGCGTTATAACTTGTAAATATACGATGCAATACATGCAGCAAAAAGTAAGCCCTAAAATAGGCCTAAAATCGCCCGTTTCGTGGACATCAAAATTTGAGTCGATTTCGGCGGTAAATAATTGTACATCATGAAACATCAATCCTCTAAAAATTTCAAATTGAGCATACCTTTCATTACTGAGATATGAAGGATTAAATTGGTCACTATACACTACACCAATGAAGGATATGCCATATTTTATTTGCCGTATCTTCCGTCAAATAATGACAAAACCTTTCTTTTCCTAATGATTGTTATATTTATAAGTAATAATTTTTATATTTATAAGTAATTTAACATTAAAAAAATTGTTATCATAATATTAAGTTTTGTAATATAATTACACAGTGATAATCAGAAAGCACCCCGAATCGTGAGGGACAAGGGGACTCATGTACAAAAAACATCCTGAATCGTGAGAGGCGAAGGGACTCACGCTAATCAAGCACCCCGAGACGTGAGAGGCGAGGGGACTCACGCTAATCAACCACCCCGAGACGTGAGAGGCGAGGGGACTCACGCTAATACCAACTTCAATCCTTCTTATCTCAGCAATAAAAGGTATGTTCAATTCGAAATTTTTAGGGGACTGTTTTAGGGGAATGTTTAATGATATACCATCATTTACCACCAAAATCGTATCAAAACTCGATGTCCACGAAACGGGCGATTTTTAGGCTTACTCTTTTTTTAATGCGTATAACATATGTCTACAAAAGTTTAAAGTTATGCATGACCACTCCAGAGACGCATAAAATGTTTGGATTTTGTTTAATCGCTTAATAAAAAGTAATTAACACGGTGATAGGTGAATGGGACAAAATGGAAATGTTTTGTGGGCCTTTAGAGTGGGCATGATATTAAATTTGTGGCAAGAAATAGTAAAATGATTGGTACTTACGGCCTTGGTTTCATGGTGTCAGCCAGAAAGCTCATTGCTTTACTAAATCTAAATGAGCTTTCAGATTTTGGGGTAGATGCGCCACTTGCAACATTTTTATTTATTCTCCTCCAGTCTCTCACGTAGCTATCCCTCAAAATCCTCCATCGGTCTTTGACATCTTCAACGTCCATGATTTCTTTATGGCATTGCAGATATTATAAAAAATTATATTATTCAATGAACATATATACATACATATCCCAGCGAGAAATGACCCATCGAATCGACGTCTATTGATGTCTATAGACGTCTAATTAGACGTCTATAGATAGACGTCGATCGATTCAATGGGTCATTTCTCGCTTGGTACATATACATACATACATACATACATATACATACATACATACATACATACATACATACATACATACATACATA